ATATATATATATATATATATATATATATATATATATATATATATATATTATTATTATATATATATATATATATATATATATATATATATATATATATATATATATATATAATATATATATATATATATATATATATATATATCCAGAAAACGAGCAACATTCTTTTTCTTTCTGCGTGTGTGTGCTTCAACTGTACTTAACCTCGCCCTCTTTAACTGCAAGCTTTCTCTGTGCTTATTCGCTTGGCCCATTCAGCGCTGGAGGTTCCGCTCCAACCGTGCATTATTCACAACCCCTCACACCCAACGACCAATGAGAAGGGACGTGTGAGCACGTGTTTGCTGGAGAGGCGGGTTGGCGTTCAGTTCGGTACCATCTGTGGCGAGTATTCTGTGGACACCCTGTTGTTCCTGGAGCGACTAGGTGCCCAGGTGGTCGGCAGTGGTGGACAATTATCCAGGACTACTGGCAGTTCCGAGAAGAAGCCGAAGCGGAAGAAGAAAGAGATGGGAGACACGCCTACTGGGCTACAGCGGGTGATGCAAGGCAAGTCATCGGCTGTGGTGTTGGTTTTTTGCGCATTGTGCGTCTGTTTACGTACTGCGTTGTAAACGTATTACTTCTTCTTTCCTACAACCCCTACACACACTCCCACACACTCACACTTCCAGAGAAGTGCAAACGCATTCAGCACGCTGTCGATTTGCACACTACGCATAGTCGAGGACGTTTCTATGTTAAAACAATCGATGCTTCACACAATGATAGGATATCTGTAAATATATTCTTCTATTTATGTTCGTTGTTGCTTACGTACATTTTGCAGAGCTTACGTTTTCGGTGCAGGGTCGCACAGTGGCCGTGGTACTTGTGGCCGAGAGCGACTGCGCACGCGCGAGTACGTTTTCCGTACACGACGTAAATGCCACTCACAAACTACTGAATGGGTACGTATTTGGAAATAAGTGTCGGACTCAAAACGCTTTTTCGTGAAGAGGGTGGGTGCATGCTTCTAAGAGGGTACTTTATTTGCAACGTACTCTTGAGTTTATTTTTGTGGACATAGGGTTTTGAGTTTTCTGTTTCTAGTGCGGATATATAATCCCTGATAATTAGTTGCACACGCAAAAACCAGCCGTCGTATTGTGGATAAGCTCAAAAGGCGTATACAGATCAACGGAATAAGCTCCAAATGTACATACAAATTCAAGCCATTGAGCGTAGCGGTGAAGGAACTGGCCGACTCTCCCTCTCGTGTGTATTGGGTTATGTACAAAATTGGGAAGTATTTCAATCTGTTTTGTTTGGAACTGCCTTACATCGCTGGCAGGATAGTCCTATCCCTATTACTAGGGTTTTTTATATCCTTATTACTAGGGATATATATAGGGACCCGCCTATAGTGGGGTGCTGTCAGCCCTCGCTACATCACCCTGTGTTTTATAGCGGTAGCCCTACCCCTGCGTGTAGAGCGTTCTACCATGACTGTGCCCTGTTCACCGCTTTTCTATACATGAGGCGCGTATTTCATTATGTACAGGGTTGTATAGTTCATTATGTATAGGGTTGTATAGTTCATTATGTATAGGGTTGTAAAGTTCATTATGTATAGGGTTGTATAGTTCATTATGTATAGGGTTGTATAGTTTATTATGTATAGGGTCGTTTAGTTCATTATGTATAGGGTTGTATAGTTCATTATGTATAAGGTTGCATAGTTCATTATGTATAGGGTTGTATAGTTCATTATGTACAGGTTTGTATAGTTCATTATGTATAGGGTCGTATAGTTCATTATGTATAGGGTTGTATAGTTGGTTATGTATAGGGTTGCATAGTTCATTATGTATAGGGTTGTATAGTTCATTATGTATAGGGTCGTATAGTTCATTATGTACAGGGTTGTACCTGCTTGACCCAAGGCAGTGCGCATCTGTGGTAGGTCCACAGCGTTTGCTTTAACTATAACACCCGTTTGCTTAGTGTGCTATTGTATCGCTACCTCAGTGCTACTTGTTTCGTAGCAACGGCTCTGTGCCGGTTGTGGAGTGGTCCTGTTGCAATCCGACGATAGCCTCGACGATGGGTGTCTAGTGCCATGCTGCCTGCTGATAACGGAATGGAACATAGATATGATCCACATATATAGATACACATACGTACATGTGTGTGTGTGTGTGTGTGTTTGTGTGTGAATATGATATATTCTCGCAGACAGTTTGCACACCTAAACTATATTCAAAATTCATAAAATAGTGCGGCGGTGCTGCCGCGCACTTTCTCGATGTCGAGTGACACCCCTGTCGAGGACATAAACGGTCCCAAAGAATCAAGTCTGGGTGCAGGACTGAAAACAAGTGCAAGTGTGGGTTTCATCTCCCTCACTCGGTTCGTTCCGGTTGAAGAATTCGTTCGCGAGACTCGGCCAATGAAAGCCCCCAGGAGCACAAACATATATGGTATGGGTACTCATATGTACTTGTGCAAGTATTCGAGGTGCATACCTACAAACATACGAATACATATGTCTGTACTATGTCTGCACACTGAGTCTGGTACTTCAACTTATTGTATATATGTCTGTGATGGACAGTTGGAGCCACTTGTGGGGAGGTTCATACCTACATATAAACGTATATATCTGTCTATACTCTGTTGGCACACTGAGTCTGATACTTCATCTTGTTGTATATGTATCTGTGATGAGCATGTATTACATTGATGCGTGCGAACTGCCATCACATTCAACAATATAATTATGAGTTATATCTACCAGAGTTATATCTACTGGAGTATATCTAATACTCGACTCACCGATAAAGTTATGAGTTATATATACTCAAGTACTACTACCACCTCACTCACCAATATAATTAAGAGTAATATCTACCTGAGCTATATATACTCAAGTAGTACTACCACCCCACTCACCAATATAATTATGAGTAATATCTACCTGATATATATATATACTCAAGTACTATTACCACCCCACTCACCAATATAGTTATGAGTATTATCTAACCGAGTTATATCTAGTCTACCTGTGTTATATCTAGGTGAGTTATATGTAATTGAGTTATATCTCCTCAAGTACCTCCTTATAGTTGTAAACACTGTATTTTTATCAACCATGTCGCCATTTGTAACTTTATATTCTCCCACTTGGAGCAGATCTGGAGCAGATGAGTACTTGGAATGTGGAGCGTATCATCAGCATTCGAGACATTGTGTGCAAAATGCCTTTCATAGTCAAGGACACAAATATAGTCAATCAAAACAAGGCCAGTCTTCACTCAAACGCAGCTGGAAAGCCAAAAGGGAGCCCACGTACAAAAACAGGTGCAGAAACTGCTACCGGTCCAAAAGTTGAGACAGGTGCAGAAACAGGTCCAGATGTGGTTGATGATGCGGGACGAGGCATTGATGTGGATTTGGATGGGGCCGAAAGGGGGCGTAGTTCCTGGCAGGAGGGGCACTCGGAAACAGGCACGGACACGCCCGCACGCGCACGCACCCAGGAGAGTGTCAATAGCCCACCCCATGCGAAAGAAGGGGAGGCAGAGCACACACCACAGGACACGAAAGGGGGAAACGAGCTGCATGTTAAGTCGCTGAGGCTCAGGATAACCATTCCGTACGAGCACCGGCTGCTGAAGGTATGCGGGTGTGAGTGGACTGGAGAGTGTGGGTTTGTCACGTGCGCTTGTTTGTGGGCTGGGAGGTGAATTCCAATCCACTCACAACTTGTATATGCATCGCTTGTAACAACACGCAGCAAGATACCATTTCTATATACTCTTCTGAAATACATGATTGTACTATCCCGCTTACATACCTTCGGGCTTGGTCTATACCCACACAACTAGCTGGTGAATGTATCACTGGAGCCCATCAACAATCTGAAGCGCCTAAAAGCCAGGACAAAAAGTCCAAAAACTGAAATCAAGGACACATTCTCGGAGATGCCCGCACTGTCCCACAAAGCCGCGACGAAGGCACCCATTACTGACAAGCGGATTTACCCATGGCGACTAATTATCAGTACCATTCAATTGACTGTGGCGGTCACCCCAGAGACTCTAGTCATCATCGAGATGGAGCAGCCATTGGATGTTGAGATTGCTCATGTCGATGTT